TTAGCAAAGCACAGGGACCGCGGTTCAATCCCCCAGCACCACATGCCAGCCAGCCCCACCCCCTGGTGGGCTGAGCTGGTCACACACACACACACACACACACACACACACACACACACACATAAATAAAATTTTAGAAAAAAAAAAAAGAAAATGACACTTTTGATCACAATGATGACTGAACACTGAATGAGAGAGAGAAGAAAACAGATTAAAAATCATGAAATATTTCTGAGCTTTTTATGAATCTCCAGGTAGATGGAATTCAGAATATTCACTTCTGGAAGCTGTCTGTGACCCAGCCTTGAAACAACAGATGCACCTGGGACCTCACATCAGCCACAGGGAATTTCAGTCCTAAACACAGGGCACATCAGTGATGACACTGGTCCAGGTGAGGTGGAGAGCTGGGTGAGGAGGCGAAATGCACTTTGCTTCCCACATTGTATGCTACTGTGAAGTCCCTGACTACATGTAGGTCTCAGATGTGGGACCTCTATGTGAGAATTTCTTCTCATCTCTGCCTTCAGGAATGATGCCTGTACGTGCAAAAGATTCTGTGCTGTGCACTAGGTACCTCATCACAGAAAATAGTAATACATTATTAAGAATATAGGCATAAAAAAGAATAGAGGTGTATTTGGTTAATTTAGACAGATTTATAAACAGTAATGTGACTGATAATTACAGGTTTAACTGAGATGAAATAAACAAAATGTGATGTGTAAGGCAGAACTATGGGAACATGTCCAGAAAAAATGCATATTATGAAACATGAGTGTTTTGCTTTATTATTGTGTATTATTTTTATTTACATTGCAATTTGAAAGTTAAAAAATAAAGATATAGATGGAGGGGAGAGAGAGAGAGAGAGAGAGACAGAGAGAGACAGAGAGACAGAGAGACAGAGAGACAGAGAGACAGAGAGAGACTGTGATATAAGTGGTTACACAGTACTTTATAAATTTTAGAATTTCTAAGGTACAAAGCAAAAGTACATGCCCGAGTCTTGCTTAGACCCCTCAAATAGAAAGAGCAGAGTGAGGCCTCTGGATGCTGTCCTGGATCCAGGCCAGCTGCCCCACTTCCTTCTCCCTGAGTGCTGGCTCAGCATGGTGCTGGGCTGAGCCTGCGGACCAGGTCTACTGATGTGGCCTAGGGGAGGACAGAGCTGTCTGTTCTTATACCATGTGGAAAGGGAATGTGCAGGATTTAGTTCACTCCTCCAAAGAATTTATTCCTCCTTGACACAATTCCTCAAAATTGGAATTAAATCGGTAGATCCCTTTTTAGATTATGAAATTAGGACATTCAGGAAAAAAAAAATCTACCTTCACAAAATGTCCAATTGACTTTGAGATAGGTACAAGTCACATTTACCTATCAAGGCAATTGATGTAAAGATGAAAGAGTCACTGCTTCAATAGGAAGTGACATATGCACTTAATTACATATGCAATTAAATATAACAGAATATTTACTTGAATTTGGATAATTTGGATACTTTATTGCAGCTCATGCATTACAAGGTCTGCTCTAGTCCTATGATGCTAATACAGAAGGGAAAGCTGAGAGGCCAACAGGAAGCCCTCACTCTGCTGTGTTTTTGTTTTGCTTTGTTTTGTTTTTTTGTTTGTTTAGCATCATGGGAGTTTTATTGTGCAGTGAGACTTTTCAATTATCGATACAAATGCCAGGATACTACATAAAACATCCACGGGAACTTTTTTTAACTTGTTTTTGAATCGTTCACAAACGTTTCCTACATAACCCAATTTACAACAGAGAAATGTTACATCTTTTTCTTGCAATTTGTATACAATGGGAAAATGTGTATCTATTTATACAAAGTTTAACTAATAGACACTAGAAGGTTGACAGTTTAATAAGTCTATAGGTGAGAAATGTAATAAAAATGATCAGAATTTAGTCAGCATCCATCACTTACTTCCTTAACCAAGTGTTATTTTAATAAAACCCACGGCCAGTTAGGCTTTTTTTCTCTGCAACTGCTCCTGGTGTCCCGCCTGATTCACCGTGGACCACAGCGGCCCCTGCTGGGCGTGAACAGCCCTACAGGGAGGTTTTTGTCTGAGCTCACACTGTTGTTTCCTCACTGTGTCTCTCGCACAGTAATACACAGCAGTGTCCTCGGTTCTCAGGCTGTTCATTTGCAGATACAGCGTGTTCTTGCTGTTGTCTCTGGAGACGGTGAACCGACCTTTCACGGAGTCTGCGTAGTATATGCTACCACTACCGCTACTGATGTAGGAGATCCACTCCAGCCCTTTCCCTGGAGACTGGCGAATCCAGTTCATTTCATAGCTACTGAAAGTGAATCCTGAGGCCAAGCAGGAGAGTCTCAGGGACCCTCCAGGTTGCATCAAGGCTCCCCCGGACTCCACCAGTTGCACCTCAGCCCGGGCACCTGCAAACACAGACATATCCTGCTCAGGAAACTATCAAGTTACTGTTTATCTCACTCATGTCCACCGACACCCTCAGCATCTTTTGTTCTAAATAGCTTACCTTTCAAGATTGCAAACAGGAAAGCTCCAATTAGCACCAGCTCCATGGTGAGCTGTCTGTGCTCAGTTCTGATCACTGAGTGGGAACAGCTGGGCACCCAGGGCTGGGCTCCTCTGCAGAGCTTCAGGTCAGCGATGGGCTGGTTTTCAACAACCGAGGGAGGCCCTATTTGCATCGTCTACTGCTATATAAACAGCTCTGGGATAAAGGAACTCACACAGGACTATGTCTACATCGGATGTGTATGTGTGCTAGGGAACTTTAGAAACAATGGTTTTATTGAAGATCATAAGAAAAACTCAGCAGAAAATAATGTCTTTGTATTTTTACCTCTTCACCTGCTTTTGTATGTCCTGTTCACATAATATGCATTTTTCTATTCAATTTGTCTGCTTTGGAAACATTAAAAATGATTAAAGTGTCAGAAACAATTTCTATTCCATAGGAGATCTGATGTACTCTCAATGTTTTCCCAACGGTCTCAGCCTACACTCCCCAAAGTTGTGAACAAACCGTTCCAGATCCACTTGGTGATGTTTCTATTCTGTTCTTCCTATAATGAGAACACGTGTGACTTTGCTGCATTCTGCTGTTTGCTGAGAGAAAACAGAACCAGTTTATATGTGGATGCTTGGTAGTAACTCTCTCATTTACAAATGTGACCAACTCTTTTTCTATATTTTGATATATATAATCTGTGACACATATATCACATAAATTGCCCATATATAAAGCATGTACTTCAGAAATATTAACACACATGGACACTAGCACAACCACACACAGAGGATCATATCACTGAACACGTGTGTCATCCTGCAGTGTGGCCTGTGGCTCCTCTACACTTCTGCCGCCCTCTGCCACCCTCCTGCATCCTATCACTAGGCAGCTCTTGAGCATCCTCATGTTCCTTCCACATTCATTTTCCTATGTTCACATTTATACAAAGAACACATACCTTATAACTTTGGTTCTGTTTAGCACAGAAATTTATCTGAAATATCTTCCCATTACTATATGAGTCAGCATTCATGCACGTTTATGTTGTTTAATTTCCCAGTATATGAAAGTAGTGCTGGAGAGAGAGCTCAGTGGTAGGCTACTTGCCTATTGCTGGGAGGCTGTTTCATCCCCACTAAGGCAAACACAAAGAAAATGAACAATCAAACCAAAACAAAATATAAAACACTTCAGTTGAATATTTCAGTGGGTTTGTTAATGGTTATTCAAATATTATAAGCTTCTAGTTATTGCAAAGAGCATGGCTTATAATCTTGCAAATTTAGACCAATGAAAAACTTGGTATTACTTTATAACAAACAGAACAACATAACAAAAACACTAGGTTAACTGTAAATTCTTAAACTTTCTTTTCTTTTCTTTTGTTTTCAGAACTTGGGATTGAACTCAGGCCCTTGCACTTGCCAGGGAAGCACTTATTCTACTGAGGCATCTCTCCGGCCCATAAATTTATTTATTTATTTATTTATTTATTTATTTATTTGATACAGGGTCTTGGTGCACAGTTAAGACTCCTAGTGATCCTCCTGTCTCAGTTTCCCCAGCGCTGGGGTTACAGGTGTGCACAATCATGGCCACTTTCCCTGGCAGGCTTGGTGCACCCTGGGTTCCATGGCTGACATGACCAGGGATGGAACTCAGGACTTTGCACTTGCCAGGCAGGTCCTTAGACGGCTAAGCTATCTCGCTAGCCCATAAATTTTCTTGAAGATACCACAAAGTGAAATTATAAGACAATTAAAATATGGAATCTCGGGATACTGGATACTAGATAGTATATTAACTACCTGGGGCTGAGGTCACTCTATTCCATGTGATCAGAAGATAAAATTGGAAGTGGTTCATAGGTGTAAAAAGGCAGAATGTATGAAGCATCAACTTATGAGTATAACAGATGTGCAAACTTAGGTGATGCATTTGTTGATTAGAGATGCTATAAAGTACCCTACGATGAGTAAGTTGCATGAAATACAGGTTTGTCTTTTATTTCTGGACTCTGAAAGTTCAAGAGCAGAAAATGACAAAATGTCTGACAGGTGGTAACTGTGTGCTTCAAAATTTTGGGGGCTGGGGAGATGGCTCAGTAGAACAAGTACTTCCCTGGCAAGTGCAAGGGCCTGAGTTCAATACCTGGTTCCACCAAAAAAAGAAAAGAAAAGAAAAGAAAGAAATCTTGTGTACTTTCTGTAGTGAAGTGGTCAAAGACATGCAAACTGTGTCCCTTTATTGCAAGAGATCAGCTCATAGAGTCCTGATGTCATCTAAGAACCCAGGTGCCCTAGGCAAATTTCCCCCCCCCAAAAGACAATACATGTTTACGATACCCTTCAAGGGGCACATGAGCTCCAATATCGAAACCCAGAGGAGACTGCTCTGAAATCATAGTTTTGGTTGTTACCCTCCATTTTGCATTTATGTTTGTTTATTTTTTAAAGAATACAAAATAGGGGCTGGTGAGATGGCTCAGTGGTCTAAAGCACCTACTTAGAACAAGCTTAGCAAAGCACAGGGACCGCAGTTCAATCCCCCAGCACCACAAGCCAGCCAGCCCCGCCCCCTGGTGGGCTGAGCTGGCCACCCACCCCCCCACACACACAAATAAATAAAATTTTAAAAAAAGAATAAAAAATAGTTTTAAAAAAGCATTAGAAATTCATTTTACTCCCTCACAATGGCCCCAAAGTTTGAAACCTTCCTTGTATCCATTTAAAACTTTTATATAAATAGCATCTAAATAAATTATGGGGCTTGTGGGTTAGCTCAGTTTTTTAAAGCACCTGTTGGGCAAACTCAGTCAGGCTCAGGGAACCATGGTTTGAACCCCAGCTCCACAAGCCACACTAGACCTGCCCTTAAGGAAGTTTGAGCTAGCAAAAACAAAATCCTAAATAAATTATAGGTGATATTTGAGGTATGACTCTCCTCAGTTTGTATTTATAAAATTGACCACATTACGTGATTCCCAAATACAGTGGTGGGCCTGGCATAGGGTGGGCATTCTCAACCTACAGAGCTGATACAAAGAAGTAACAAGTGTCACAAACAACCAAAACTCAACTAACACAACATTTATCCTTGTGAAATTAGTCACAGGAAGATGAAGGGTAAGGAGGACCCAACATCTTAGCAGCTAATGTCTTCCCAAGGCCTCAGTGCAACTGCTCCTGTGTTAGGACCCAGGAAGGGTTGAGTTCCCAAGAAACTTGATCTCACCAAGTGTTCTTGGCTCCCTTTAAAGGGACTGCACATCCCTGGGCTATATGGAGCAGGGTCTTTGGGTCCTGATCACCCCAGAAGTGGTTTGGGATCACATCAACTTCCTTTCACTGTGGATCCAACATCCATCCAGGCTGTTATCAGTTTCCTCTGAGCTTCATCAGGACCTGCACTGGATGAAAACAGCAGCATTTTGACATAAGTGGAATTTTGAGTTCTGCAGAGTTCGAATTGTGTTATTTGATTAAAGTACACTTGTCTAACTGAGACTTCACAGGTAAAGAATGACATGAAATCAAAGTATCAGGGATAAACATTATGTGGAAAACTCTTATCAGGAAAGGAAACTTTGTCCTTTAACTGTGTTCTTTGGCTGTATACATGTAGAGCTGGTGTAAACAAACTGTACTGAACTGACACAAATGAGCAAAACATATATATTTTTACTATACAAGGCTGCTGGTGTAGAAAACTTTTTTTGGAAATGTAGCATTTTATTCTTTCAAATTTTATTTTTAAAAAAAGAAAAGGAAAAGAAAATGTTTGTTTCATTAAATGCATTACTCAGGCCAGCAAGATAGCTCAGTGGACTCAGCACCTGTTTAGGCAAGCGCAGGGACTGGGATTTCATGCCTGGTACCTTATACTGTGCAGGCCCTGCCCCATTGGCCTGCTGAACCAGCTATCCCATCTGGGTATGGTTGTGCACATCCATAATCCCAGCTCTAGGGAGGCTGAAAATAGGAGGATCAATATGAGTCAGAACTGTGTAGTGAGACCCTGTACCAACTACATAGACAGACAGACAGACAGACAGACAGACAGACAGACAGACAGATGCATTACTCTAGTAGATTTCAAGAAATTAAAGATTATCAGGGAATGGTTACCCAGTCCTTCAGAATTTTGACATCTGAGGCAGGAGGATCAGTGTGAGTTTGAGGCCAGTCAAGGGTGCATAGTGGGTTCATGCCCAGCCTGAACTGCATAGCAGTACCCTGTCTCAAACAAAGAAATAAAGAAAAAAAAGAAAAGAAAAACTCATGAAACCAAAATAGCCTCGCTCTCTGTCTCTGTCTCTGTCTCTGTCTCTGTCTCTGTCTCTCTGTCTCTCTGTCTCTCTCTCTCCATTTTAAAAGAACTCAATTAAGTCTGAAGAACAAAAAGAGCCTTCTTTTCCTTCATGGACATTCATTCAAGTATCTTAGGGAAGGATCTACAGGGTGTTCAATGTCTCACTACTAGATTGGACTCATGATCAACCTGTTTACAGCCGCCTAAGAGCTGGGATTACAGGCATATGCCACCACGCCCAGTCTCAATCACCCTCTCAGCATATCCCAGGGGCGAGGCCAGTACAGCAGGCCTGGGGATCGAACCCCCAGCCCCTGCGCCTGCTTGCAGGAGCTTTAATCAGCTGAGCTATTTGGCTGGACCCTCAGTCAGGTATCTTGTAAACTGCCTTCATGGACAATCAATTAAGTATCTTGTAAACTGTGCTGCTTCCTCAGAATAAAAGTTCTGCTTGTCAGTCACACAGTAGTATGTGAACAAAGATAGAAGCAGAGACAAATGAGGTGTTGGTTTAAATTATATGATCTGTGCCATGTAATTTTCAGGCAAATTTGCCAAATCTGACACTGTGAATGAATGTGACAACTTTTCTAAAGTCAAACTAGTTACTTGTAAAACATCATATTTTTAAACATCATAGTCATATACCTTGGTTAATTGCAATCTTTAAGGTTAGCCTAAAGGACACTGAGACAAAACTTATATAAGATCTCAGTGTCACAACCAATATTACAGAAAAAATTAAAGCCTTATTCTATT